AATATGTAAACCTTGATTTTGAACATTTCTAAGTCTTTATCAATCTTTAGCCATCTTTCCCCCCCTAACACAACGGTTGGATTATTGCATTACAAAGTAAATTCCAACGTTTCTCTTCTCAAAAAATTGAACCGCTAACTGTTGCGAGGTAAATCACATATTCACAAGGTTTGAAAGTTGAGTAGCACTGAGAATTCAAGCTCACACAGTCGACGCCTCAACAATAAATGACAAATATGTTATATGCAACATTTTATACATTATTAATAAAAATTAAAAATTATCGCCAAATTTTTAAAACATTAACTAAGAGAACTATTTCTCCTGTTATTTCGACCATCAGTTGCAAAAAATGAAAATAAAAAGTTGTGAAAGAGTCTATTCTAGTAAAACCTTTTCACAATGTGATTTTACGAGAAATCATTGTGAAAGTTCTTTAAGGGAAGGTAGAAGAGAAATAGGTTCAGTATAAATTCAGTAGAGGATCAAAGAAAGATATGCAGAGAAAGTTCCATGGTACTTGCAGAACAAACATATGACTATTAAGACTAATCTTGGATATGATAAAGATAATGTCATTTTGGATGTGAGGTCGGTCTTAAGAAATACGTTGTTATCAAATTCAAACATTTAAAATATATTACAATTGTTGTGCAGCTATTCATTCAAAAAATATTTTCAGATTTATTGGCTGTTCTTTATCGTCTTTATATAGTTTCTTATATTATCTTTCTTAGGATTATAAAAATAAGCTCCAGAAAATACGTTTTACATAATCAAATAAATTTCTACACGGATCAAAATACGATTTTATTGAGATATCTAAATATTCAGCTACATATAGATATTTGAAAATAATTTTGTTTGGATCATCAAAATAATTATGTAAGATGCTCAAGCTAATTGCTAGAACATTAACATATTTTGCAACATTACTCTCATCATACACGAATTTCCTACATAATTATTTTGATGAGTCAACAAAATTATTTTTAGATTTGTTTTTCTAATGATTTTTAAATACTTCATCAAAATCTTTTCCATGTATTTTAGCACTAATATAATTCTCAATTATATCATTTGCTATCATAAATATGATTTCAATTCCTCTTCCTCTGCTTCTTATACGGTAAATTAATTATTAACATCGGTTCAATTATTATTCGTTCAACAACTAGTCGTTCATCGTGTATTAGCCAGAATGCGTAACGCACGCCGAAACTCTTAACTCGCGGACAGCGATTCGCACATTCTGATTCCGATTTCAGGCTGGCGCTTCGATATTTACTCGTCGTGGATGCTAACGATGCCGATGAGTTTGCGTAGACTCGTGTGGCGTTTATTCACGTTAACGAGGCCCGATTAAAAGCTGTGAGATGACTCATGGGACGTGACGCGCGCGCGTGCACGTAGGTCCCAAAAGGAGAGCAGCAATATATCTTGCAGTGTATATCATGTGTTGACGCCAATAGGATGAACCGACCCCGCGTAACAATGGCCTCCTAATTGGTACGACATTTGTAACGACTTGGGCCTGTCTTTGTTGTATGACCCTTAACGTTTATTCGATCATCAACTGACCCATTGCGACACGTATACGATTACTTTAATACGGTAATTATCAGTCTTTACGATCAATAATCTTTCGTCATTGTTTCGTTAAGCTCCCAACAAATAGACATTAACACGGAACAGTAAAAGAATGAATTTCGGGCGTTTTACGATAATTTTGTATAAAATGTGTCGTGTAAATTAATATTACATGCATATTCATTCATATTCTTTTTTATTTTATGTAACGTATTTTTGATTTACATATTTAAAAGTTGCTATAAGTAAGTATTCTTCATTTCTCAATATAATGAAATACAAAGCAACTAAAAACAATACTAACGACTGCTCGTCACTCTGCACGCCGGAAGCGAACACTGTCTCGTGACACGTGTCGGAAGTCGACCCACGCGAGCGCCGCGATGAAGAACAGCCGCGAACATTTCGATAAGAATCGAGAACACCTGCGGCACGCGTCCGGACATACGAAACGCACCGCGATGCACCTATATGCGTGTACCACTTTTCCGACGGTGCAGTGTCGGAAATGCAGCGTGCACCGAAGGAGAACAACGACGATTATTCCTACGCATGCGGGAGGTCTCGCATGACATGGGCCTAAAAAAAACTGTTTTCGAAAAAAAACTGTTCTTTCGGCGAAAAATGAGCTAAATGACGACTGATTGGTGGACAATGCACAACGATATAAAGACCGCATTCCATCATTTCGAGTTCGTCTTCTTTCCCCCCATTCAGAATGCACTTGTTCATTGAAATATTTATAACAGGTCGATACAAAGATGAAAAAAATAGTGGAGAGCAGATGCGAGGTATCGATGTCCTTTATGTCTAACTGTGTGGACACCTTTCCTCACATCGGTCGCGTGATTATAAGATACGGGGTTGTTAACCTCGGACCTCATTGCCGTGTCGAATTTTGTTCATTTATCTCAAAGGCTTTTGCTATTGAATTTTATTTACTTATTTATAGTACGCGCAACATTAGGAATAGCTCCGATCAATATAAATATAATACAAGGCTATGAAAATTTACCTAATTTTAAATCTGAAATGTGTTTATCCATTTTATTTAATTATTAAAAATTAATTATTGCAAAATAATTAATTATCATAAATTAATTAATATAAGCATATTTTTTACATTATTAATTTTTTTTCGTTAGAATTAAAAGCGGATTATATGTATTTAATGATATTCCTCTCAAGCGAAAGGAGTTAATAACTTGCGCAGAATTTCAATTTAATTCTCGGAGAATCTCATAATCCTCGTAAAAGATTACGAAATTAATCCTGGGAAAAATCAAAACCACACGTAAGGCCAGCGACGGAATGGATCGGAAAATCATTTCCTTTCTGTCGAGACCCTCAATCGAAAGCGACGCACGTCGAATCGTATGATTGTCCGATCACTAATTGATTAGGACAGTCGTCGAACATATGTTGGTCACTTTACGATTTTACGAATTTGCCCCGCCACCCTTAATCCGATAGGAGTCCCCGACAGAAGAGGCCCGAGTGTGGCCCGCGCCTACCGTTATATATTACACAACGTGTAATTTGCGGACAAAAGAGCACGTTGCTGTCGATGCTTACGATATACCCGTTCATTGTTACGTCACAACAATGCAGCAGCTCTTTACGAGAACCCGATGTATGCTAAGTGAAATATTTATCGCCATTGGGGGTTGCTATTCTATGAGCCGACGGCATTAGGCGGACGCGAGAAATTATAGTAGCTAATTACTTACTGACAAGTCGGACGCCAAACGCGAGCTGCATTCATGGGCGTGTAGCACAAACAGAAATCGAAGCGTGAACTGCAATGGTTACATTGGAAACAATTAGTATAAAGCTTTCTACAATAATTAAGGATACTAATCTAGAAAATGATACTTATCGCAGCTATAACATTTAATAAAAATATAATTATGCATACGGAAAGAATAATTCTATTATATGTAGTATTCTACTGTTTACAAATGTAGATTGTAGATTTAAAAATGTAGACATATAGAACTGAAAATAATGTTGAACTATCAAAATAAATATGTGTAGGAAACTCAAACATGAGCAATGCTACAAAAAAATTTTGTTATTTTATTAATCAATTTGAGCGTTCTACGTCATTATTTTTTAACAGTTCATAATTTATTTTCAGATCTACATCTAACTAAATTTTTAAATATTTCAACAAATGTTTTCGCGTGACATTACATTTTATTACAGTATATATTACAGTGTATTAGTAGATAACAAAGAAAAAAAAGTATTTATGCACGGAAAAGATTTTATGCACGGAAGAATTTTCTAAAATTTCTAAAAATTTAAGCAAATATACAGATCTAAAAATATTTTATTAAACCATTAATATAATTATGTAGGACATTTAAACCAATGACTATAATATCAAAACTTTTTGCAGGATCGTTTATCATTTTGAGATTCTCACGTAATTATTTTAATGATCCAAAAAAATTATTTTCAGATCGATATCCAGTTAAATTTTTAGATACTTCAAAATTGTTCCTTCCGTATAAATTTTTTTATCTTGGACATTAGCATAACGAAAAATCAAAAGAAACCGGATATTGATAGAAAATCTTATCGGCCTTTCACGAACGATCGAAATGTTAAATACAATTAACGGGAAATCATCTATCTCGATCTTTCGAGATCACAAATCTGTTCCCATGAAATTAATCTTCCGCCAAGATCGCGATCCTGTTAAGCGAAACTGCTTCAAACGATGCGACTAATCCAAGATCCCGGATCCTTGTAATCTTGTGGGATGATCCGAGAAGGAACTGCACCCGCGTACCGCAAGGATCTTCGAAGCTATGGTGGATCGATTTGTCCGTTGATTAACCATGGCCAGTGCATCGAACCGGCTTGAAAAGACGTAAACTGGTCGAAGTTCCTCGGCAGGATTCTCGGGGTTGTTCACACCGATGCACGTCTTCCATTTGGTTACTTTCGCAATGCATTATTGAATTCATCAAAGAATTCAAAGTCAGCATGACTAATTGCGTGGGACTAAAAGCTATTTCATAATATAGGTGTTATCGCAAATACATCATTGTACTTCATTTGAATTTTTTTTCATTTCTGTCTTCATTCTTCTTTTTATCTTTCAAGTGTTAATATAAAGAATAATTCAATTCATTTTTTTAAATAAAAACTTATTAAAACATAGACCAAAAGAGAATTTATTTATTTATACTAAATTGTTTTTTATGATTTACGATGCGTATAAATGTATTTCTCACAAATACATGGCATTAACAATAAAAATAGTATATAAAATTATATTATGGTACATAAGCATATTTAACGCGATTGTATCAATTTATTTTTATAATAGTCAATTTCGTATTTATCTAAACAAATATTGAATATTCGTAATTTCATAAAAATTGAAGAGATCTGATTTAGAAATGTTTGACCTTCGGTATAGGTTCCTCATTGAGGAATCGTCTTTTTGGCGACCATGAAGGCGGTCTGGGCAATTTAGGTTGTGGTATCGGATTCGATTGTTTACGATCTCTACTTCTTCCACGATTCGGAGATTGTCTTTGTTGTCGCTGTCTTTTAGTTATCTTCGATTTGTCAGTTGTTTTCTTTTTATTGTTCCTCTTCTTCTTTTTTGTATTTGTATTCTTTCTGGTAGTTGCTGATAGTATATTACGTCTTGAATTTGTAGTTTGATAAAAGTCAGGATTAAACCTGTCAAAATAATGCACATACGTGCTATATATTTATGAAATACTGAAGAGAGATACTGAGATAATTGCTGAATTCTTCAAAATTTTAACTTCAAAATTATAAACTTTTATATAGATATGTGTTAAGATATTTTGTTAAGATATTTTTTTTATTGCACAAAAAAGATATTTATTTATAATTTATATAATAGCTTTAAAATTTTATTTTTAATTTTACTTTTAATTTTGCAAAGATACTTTATACATTATTTGTCTAAAAATTATTATTTTTATATGTTTCTAATTATATATTTTTTAATTATAATATTTTTTAATTATAATTAATAATACGATATTTTTTGCAATATTATTGGAATTTATAGCTTACTAAAATAAATAATAACTATGAAATATAATAACTAGGAAAGATTTATCGAAAAGGAAGATGTTGAGAACTGCTATTCTCTCTCTCTCTCTCTCTCTCTCTCTCTCTCTCTCTCTCTCTCTCTCTCCTCTCTCTTTTTTGCAGAAGTAGTTATATAAGTTTCGCTCGGAGATTTTTCTGGAGAACCTTAAGTTATTTACTAAAAGAGCTTTCCGAAGAAAAGGCACCTGAATTTGTTTCTCTTCTTAGCGAGTATACCAAAGTCCAGACCACGACGTAAAGCGACGGTGATGTCTCTCCGAAGAACCTTACCGATCGCTATGTCATATTTGTTGCTGATGTGCGTCAGTATCTCCTTCTTAGAAAAGCCATCGGGTGGCTGTTCGGTACGAAGCAGATCGTAAACCAAGACAGATCGACGCACCATTCTTGTTAAAGTGTGATTTATTACGAGAATATTCGTTATAACCAGACATAACCAACTGATTCATAATATCAATTCATAATATCAATCCTGAAGAATGTAATGCCAAAATTCACTGAAGTTTGATGCATCTATTACGAATGACAAGCTTCGTTGCATATATATACATATTTATACAAGGAGCACAGTTTTGTACAATAAAATATTTGAAATTATAAATGTTTAATTTTTTCCGAGAGATTTTTTTTCATCTTTTGTTCTATATATGTATAGTATCCCGATTGATATATCTCTTATATTTCGTACACACAGAATTAAAGAACTTATATATTTTAACTACGTTATATATGTAAATATTATTGACGGCGTAATTATTATTGATTATGATTATCATTTTCTATGTAATATGCAAAAGATGAAAGCATGTACTGATTTGCATATTCTTGCTGGCTTTTATACATAAATCGATATTTCTCTTCGCCCAAACGCGGAGCACTCATCCCCAATACGCACACGCATGTTTTATATAAAAAAATATATATAGGTACATATATGTGTATCTATATATAATATATATTTGCACATATGTATATATATGTACACATACTTCAGAGCTCTGTTCCGATACTTGGAGCAGCCCGCTGTTTGCCGAGAGGGATGCAGAGAGTTTAGAAGGAACTCCAACTTGGATGGCTGGGCAACTCGGGGATGGTTCTAGCAAAGGGGGAGATAAGACTTAAGTCGGAATGAGAAAGGAAAGACACAAGGAAAGAGAGGGATGAAAACGAAGAAAAATCTTGGTGTCTAGAAAGAGAGAATCCGCCAGGATGGTTGGCGATTCTGATTTCCGTCGGGAGTTTCGCCCTATCAAGGCAGAGTAACCGAAGTGAAGCCGTCTTTAATCATTCGATTGCTGACGCTCCGGATCCTCTTCCTGCCATGATGGCAATGCCGATATCCATGATACGGCGGGAATTCGACGCGCGCTCTGGTTGTTTGCTTATCATTTTGGCGATTGGACGTCTCGAAAAACAAACGGATTAATTCCCGGCGTTTTGCCATAAAAGCAGAGATCTCTCGTTATTAGTGAGCAATTATAATGCTCACGATTTCTGTATGTTTAAAATTGATCGAATATACTTCGAATTAGAGATTTTATGAGAAAACTTATAGTAATGACTTTTTTAGTTTAAATAACAAATCATTACAGTACATAAGATTATGTATAATATAAATTTTATTTTCTTAAACACACCTAAGATGTACTTAATATAAAGTATACTTCTAATCTTAAATAATTACAAGAGATAAAAATATTTTTCCACGCAAATCAATGTGCCAAAAATCACTGTTTCCAATTTCATTTTTTCGTTTTGCCGACTGAATGTTACATTGAGAGCAAAAGGAAACGATGACCTTATTGTATTAGCAGAGTTAGTAAAATATATTTGCGCAGATTGTTAAATATTAGGTCTAAATTACTACTTTCCGTCCCGTTGAGTAGCCCGTGAAGTTTTCTGCATGGAACTGGAAGATCGAGGATTTCTCTCAATTTTTCTGAGAAGTTCTTTCCAAGAAAATTGGTGCGGAAACATCGACTCCTTTAAAAGGGTACTATAACTACACTCTATTTTCATAATTATGAATGTTGGCAGTGTCAAGTGAAATAACTTGAATTTTTTACAGCATGTAAAAATACTGTAGAGAATATAAAATAAAATATAAATGTTCAGTTAAATTGTAATTTTCATTTTATATTTATACATCCATGCTTATAACACAGTACGACAAAAATCGATTTTTTTTCCTATGAAAAAATCAAAGAAATTCTGAAAGTAGATGTCAAAAAAAAATATCCGTTTCTTGGCGTTTTACCAGATCAAGTCGTTAACGTTTTTTATGCAGTTTTTTATGCAATTTATCGTATTTACTTCATATTAGCTTTTTACAATTGTTTTAAATTATATAATAATTTTTAAAATAAATAATTGACATTTTTGCATGTGAAATTATGCGATAAATCTGAATACAAAAATAAACAACTGAGAATTATTTTTATACATATTATTATTATAATACAAAAATTTGAAGATATATGAAGCCGAGACACGGGTATTTTTTTTTACATTTACTTTCAGAATCTCTTTGATATTTTCATGGGAGGGAATATGTTGTATTGTGTAATATTGCATATTTCATAATTTTGAATTTCTCTATCTTAAAAACTATTGTCCAAAAAAATGTAATTATTATCTATTATTAAAACTACAAAGAAATGTGAATAATATTTGCGTAAAGGCTCAGTTATAAAGATAAATATAATAAATTAATAATACAGATATAAATATTTTATCCTGAAAGTGTTGCATACATCAATAATTAGCGTGTTTCACAGTACCATGCAAAAAACTGTCATAGGTCGAAAATGCAACAACAATATTCGAGGAGCACCGCAATCCTTAAATGAACGGTTGGCTTCAAAATCCCGACGATTTGTCTTCCCTTTTCTTCCTCACGGAGGGTGGGCGTTCTGATTTCCCGGGTTCCTCCGTGCCTTTTTCCAATTGTGCCGCCCCCGTGCCGTGCGCCCGGGTCCTCCAAGTCGCGGCAAGTGGATTATTGACGGCACGAAACAATGGCGCAGCTTTGTTCGGTACACTCCCGCAAGTAATATGTGTTCGACGCACAGTGCACGTCTGTCCATCCGTCAGTTTTGTGCGTCACAAGTGGCACCAGCTATAAACCGAACGAGTGGTCCTTCATATCGGATCGAGTCAAGCACCGTACGATACATCTGGCTGTCTGATCGATGTTTATTAAAAATCATACGAAACTATAATCGCTCGCACATCTGATCTGTTGCATTTAAATACGATCATCAATCATGTCGATTCTAATATAGACTTGACATCAAGTAAATACGCCGCATACACACACAATTTTATGTGTACATGCTATTATTTTTATCAATTATATACTTTTATTAGTAATAGTTAATGCCAGTATTAACAACATTAAATTGTAGATCTTAATTAGAAATATAATATAGAAACGGTATTGTATGATAATCATATATTATTCAAAAATGTGACTTTTGATTTTGCAGCAATGCAAAAAAATTCTTTTTGCTAAAAAGATTTAGACTATATAGGGACAAAAAGAAGATGTAGACAATAAATGATTAAAAAGCGAACTCATCTAAAGCAAATGACGATGGATATACATATGAGAATTCACTTAATCATAATACAAGAAAACGGATACACGTGCGTAAATATGAAATAGTACAAAAGTTGATCACAAAATTCAAAATCCCTCTCCTGAAAAACCAACTGGATTACATAATTACTGAGTCACCGTTTAGAGGCTGAAACCCGCGAGCTAAAAAAAAAAAGAAGAAAAAAATTTATAATATATGAATCACTAACGAAATAAGTATATCACTTCACTTTGATGAGGCGATCCGGCAAAAGAGCTAGAAGTTTAGCAAGGAATGCCGTTTCATTCCGGAAGATGGAAGAAACAAGCTTTCTCTGCGACAATTTTATTGGTCTTTCTTGAAAGAGGCAGCAACAGCAGAAGCCGGTTACTCCCCAGAAAGATGGGACAGTACAAAGCGAAACGGGAGGCGGGATGAATTAATTCTCCGACTACCCCTTCCCGAGTTTTAATTCCGATATGACAAATTCAGTCTTCAAAATAACCGCGAGGTGATATTACACAATTTCGTCTTTTGCTTGAAATATTTTTTATATATTGGAAGAAAGAGACTTTTTCTTTATTAAAAATGTTAAAAATATTTAAAAAATTTCTTTTTTATAAATTTAGTTGCTAACAAATGAATAACAAAAACTTATTTCTTAATTCGTTGTAAATAGTGGAAAAAAATTTCAACTTCAAACTTAATGAAAATCGAAACATTGGATATTAAAAAGAGAATTGTAAGAGGAAATGCTCCCAAAAGAAAATTTTGTTAAACAAAAATGAATTCTAAATTGATCGAAGAATTCCATATAAAATTCGTGTGAATTTTGATTCATCCTGTATAACGCTGAAGAATTAATATTAGATATGTACATAGTGTATTACACAACCTGGTTCTTTACTAAATTACAACGTGCGCGGAAATTGTGCGGCGTGTTTGCCGGAAGGGAAGGCGAATCGCAAGAAATGCGCTCGTTCGTGAAGGAGAAATCTCTGTGACGATAAGGAGCTATGTGCCGTTGGGAATGCCGGGGTTTAGCCATGGTGAATTTTGCCATGGAGGTCGTGATCCAACGTGCAAACAACCCTATGGGCAGAGATTTCGATTTGGTATCCGTTGATGTCGACTATCGCAAAGCGCCCCTGAGGCGCAAAAGCATTGCTCACCATTGAAATAAAGTCTCGAGGTATGCTCAAAACAACATGCCGCGGTTACTTTCATAACGGTGTTTTGGCTATAGTTCATGTTTTTTCGCGAAAAGTATTGTATATCTTTCTAAAACGGTTACATAACAACAAATATCATCCTACAGCTAGTATTAACAGTTCATTCAATGTTTTTATTTTTTAAATAAAAATATTTTTATTTTTAAAATATAAATATTAATAATCATGCTACTATACACTTTATAAAAAAAAATTTTTAAATATCAAGTTACAATTTTTTAACAAAAGAAATCAATATTCACGAGTTGAATTCGTGAAAGTTGATTTTTTCTTTTGTTAAAAAATAAAATAACATAATATAATAATGACAAGCATTAATGTAAAAATTAAGCTTGTATAGTGTAATAATAAATATTATTATAACACTGCAATATTTTGTACTACTGCAATTCATAAATTCCAACTAATATCCGACGATCTAATTAACTAACTTCATATACCTTCAAGACGGTATGATTTTACCTCCACTTTAACTCAGCAAAGTCTGCGAAACACATCTCTTAGCGACCGCGTAACCAGTAACACAAGGAAGAAGTAAAACACTGTCTTACGTCGGTGCAAGGAAGTGACGC